AATAAAAAAATTATAAAAAGTAAAATTAAATATATATATTTAAAAAAAATTATAAAAGAAAAAATAATATTAATATTTTTATATTTATATTATTATTTTCTTTTATAAATTTTTTAATATTATTATAATGAAATAAATTATAAAATTAAGTTATACTTATCAAAATCTCTCTAAAAATATTTTAGCAGAGTTTTAATAGATTATATACTAATTGTTAATTAGAATTTCAGCAAATTTTCAGTTTTAATAAATTTCAAAATTTGGCAGAATTTTGGTATCCTATTTATTAATTAATAGTTTATTATAATTTTAATAAAATTTAAATAGCTATTAAGAAATTTTGGCAAGAATTCTTAGTTATAATCAAAGTAAAACATAATAAAATAATACAAAAATAATATAAAATATAATAACAAAATAATTATTATAAATAATTATCAAATATAAAGTATATTATAAAATACTTTATTTATTTTTAACTTATTAATATAAATAAAAAACTATCTTTATTTATATAATTTGAATATTAAAAAGATATTAAAAATAATTTATATAACTAAAATAACTCATGTTATAAATTCATGAAATTTTTATGAAAATTCCATGAAAATTAGTTAAAAATAATAACAAAATAAAATTTAAGATATTTATAATATATAATTATACATTCATTAAATAAACATTCTGTAGTTATTTCACGAATATCCGGTAAATAACTAGTTTATTCTATGGATATGACATATACCCGATCTTATCATTAAAATAAATTAAGGTTAACATTAACATTAGTACTATCCTTTGTTTAGTATCTTTTATTATCATTATAAATAGTACCACTAACACTAACTATATATCTACAAAAATTGATGTTCTTGAATACAAAAAATATTCCATGTCTTTAACACTGATAAGTGTACTACAAAATGGTTATGTGAAGTTGAATGCTTTTGTAAAATCTATTGAAAATATAAAATCTATAAGAGTTAAAAGATTTTATTTATAAATTTATTATATGACTAAGATAACAGAATTGAAAAAAATATAAAACTGAAAGTATTATTATAATAGTAACAATTTTTTTTTGAAATCTCATAATTTCATAATATTATATAAATTTTTATTTTACATAATATTTGTTAGTATTATAATTTATTTCTTTTATTTTTATTCACCAATAGCATAAATTATTTTCATTTTTAATTTTATTTTAGTTATTTTTAGTATTATTATTAGATACAATTCGAAGCATTTGTATTTCTTATTATACATTTTGTTAATTTTTCAATTAGAGAAAAATTATACGTATAGATAAAAGTGAAGTTTTTGATAAAAATAATCGTGGAGCACCATCTATAGTATCTTTCCTAAGCGTTGAATAGTTCCTGTTATTATTCAATTTCAAACACATGTATTTAGGATAATATCCCGGGTAGTATAACAGTGCTACAGGAATACACGCATTATTCTTTAACGTTAACGTTTCAATTATCTAGCGCTATTAAATTACAAATTCAAATATTGCTTTTCCATATTGGATTTTCTAGAACTCTGATTCATATTAATGTTTATGCAGAAAGCAAGTAAAGTCACAAATTTTCGGCAAACATATATGCAAACAATGGATAAAGCTTAATAATTCATTCTTTGAGTAAACAAATTAGCTTGGATGTAAAATTTGAACCTATACTAATAATTGGTGCCGACTCTCAAAAATTAATAGATAAAATGGTCCAAGTCTATATCCGATATACAAAAGCAAAAAATTGCAAAAAGTCAGTTATAATTTCAATATTGAAAAAAAGACCGTGAACTTGAGGATTGAACACATTTAAGTAATTATTTTCGAACTATAAATAACAACAAAACTTGACACGTTTAAATGAAGATTGTTTAGCATATATCGAATCGATTACTTAGCAATTTATGTGTTAAATACGAAAGGGGTTTATCGAGCACAGGAGATATAAGCTTGCCCTATAAATATAACGTGACAAAAGAATTGAAATTTGAAAACTCATCTTTTATCGATTTTAGTTTCTTTAATAATTAATGTGTTTGAGTAGATTAAAATTGGAGATTTAAATTTTATCTCGTAAATCTATGTTGTGGACATTTAAATTCAATGTATTATTCATCAAGAATGTTCTATGATGTTTTTTAACTGACTGTATTGGTATTTGTAAAGATCGCAATTTGCTAGTAAAGAAATATCAAGAAACCATGTGCGATAATATTTTTTATTTCCGCAAATTATGAATTATGATAATTCAAGTAAATCAGACTAGGTCAAAACAGTACAAAATACTCAGTCGGAGCCGTCTATGCTTTTAGGTGTTTATCTTAAAAAACTCCATTTTCACATCTCGAACAACCTTTCTTACCCAAGTAAGAGTAAGAAAAGAAGTTTGTTTTTTTCTTCTGCTCACTTTCCTTCCCCTCTTTTTACAAAAAAATAATTTACCTTTTGTATTATTTTCCCTTTATACAGCACACTTCGGCACTGAAATAGATACACGCTTCTAGACTTCCCTCAGGACAAATAGCCTATAATGTCGAACCCATTTTCAGAAACCACAGTGTTGATGATTCTACCACCACCACCTCCTCCTCCTTGGCGTCTAACGTGAATGCTTTGTTTAGTGAGAGGCTCCGGCCCGAAACAAAAAGAAGATCTTAAAAGGCAGTAACAGTAACTCCGCTCACAATTCCCAAACCATCCCCTCATCTCCGATATCAGCTCCGGTATTATCTTCAAGAGACCCAGACTGCGTTCCCTATTGGAACGATTGAGTCGCGAACTGGTCAAGGAGATTGTGGTTGTTCACAGAGACAGGGCTCTGTAGATTCGCCTTCGACCTCATCGAGTTCATCTTCCATCTTAATAGCACAAGGCTCGTGGTTCTCCCAAATGACAATCCAACGGATGAATGGGAACTATCTCAGGATATCCTTGCCATTAACACTGTCTTCATCTGTCAACTGTATGAAAAGCGATCTGTAATTATTTATTTGCACTTTCTTTCACCTAACCAAATTAAATCACTTATTTTTTTTTTAGATACAGACGAGAACGGAAACAAGACAAAAAGCAAAAACGCGGGAAGAAAGCGTAAACAACGCAACGAGTCAAGAGAGCAAAGAAAGCAGATTTGACACGATCACTGAAGAAGATCTTGCTTCGACAGTGGATGGGTTGTGCTAAATTGGTTTATAACGTGGTAGTAATCAATTACCATCAGCATTATAGAACTACAAAGCAGTTTTTTCAGAGTGCTTCTTCGGCTGAAAATCAGATACACAAATGAATAGGCATTTATGGAAAAGATACCATATGAGGTGCTTGATCATGCTATTTCAATTGCTATACAGGCCAGAGATGAAGTTATTGCAAGAAATCGAAAGAAAAAAAGTCAAGATCCTTACAACATACTTCATTTTGCCTCTAAAAAGGATGACTGCCAAACGATTACTATTCGTGCCCAGTACTGCTGTGAACCACTTCGTTTTTACCTAAGGCTATTACATAATAAGGTTCTTTTTGCTAGTGATCCGGATCATCCACGTTATAAAGGTTTAGCAAAGTCGAAAATACAATCATTGTTGGCCGAATGATACTGGAAAAGTTACAATGGACTCGAAATTAATATACGAGAAAATTAGGACATTGGACATTTGTATGGGTGTATGAAAAGTCTATCCGTGAGAATCAAGCGGAAGAAATCCATGTTGCTCCTGGTGTCCGAACTTTTCTCACCCACAGTCGGCTATGACAATGATATTAACCGCATTATACGCCTCTGTCTTTCTCTGGATGCACTTATTTTACGCACCAAGCAAAGAAGTGTAACTCGAGTAATTATTATCTGTGCTTGGTTCGCGATCACGTGATAACAAACCAATAAGAATGCGCAAATCATGTGTGTGCCGGCAACTATTAAAGGTCAATTTTATCGTTTGGGCTAGGGTAAAGGTTAGAGTGGAGGACAAAGTTATATGTAAAATTGCTTCCCTGACAATTTTTATTAGAGCTCCAAGTTAGATTTAGAGATCTGTTCCCGTATTTTTCACATTTTTCATTTTTGTGTCGGATTTGTTTTTCCGGGCTGATCAAAAATTTGCGCATCCTTATTGGTTTGATCACGTGCACGTGATCAGGAACCGAGCGCAGATTATAATTATGCGTGTAACTCTACAAGACGAGCCCAAGCTCGCTTAAGAAAACGCATACAAAATTTAGTGGATGAAGTGCACAAAAAACTGCATTGTGGTTGGCTCGTACTTTTGATATAATAGTATCGCCGACATTTGATAGCACACAAATGTCACGATGCTGACAAGGAAGAAGACTTAATAATAGGACAGTTCGGAAGATGATGAGTTGGGTATGCGAGGTTTAGGTAACGATTGGTATTTAAGATGGAAAAATTTGGTAAGATTGTTTTAACGTGTGATTCGGATTAATTGGAACTTAAATGGCACCCGGGGTATTTTTCTCCGGGCATTGCTTGATGGAGTCTTAGTTATGTAATATAGCTATGCTAATTGGTTGATTATATTTGACTATGCTTAGCTATAGTTGATAGATTCAATCCATCCTTTACCCATTGCAATTCTTTTGGCTGCATCTAAATAAATCAAAAACTTGTTTTTGATTCTTATGTTCTTTATACATGTATTATGTACGCATATTACGTAACACAAAAGAAAGTTTATTATCTTGATACATGTAGTTGCATGTATAACGATAATAAGAGAACAATCAATGGTTTCAGTATATTGTTGTGATACAAATATTCCTTGCTTTTTTGTTTTAGTGGTGAAAGTATAACAGTAGCAGTTTTTTAAGCGTCATGATGGGATTAAGAATTTATATCATTACAAAACAGTTTATTATCTTGATAGAATTTCTTAAAAATACATGTACAATGAAAAACTAAACATATTGATATGAAATTGATGAAGCTTAGAAGTAGCAATCGTTTTTTTGTACCATAATGAACTTAAGGGGTTGGAGCGGCTATCAACCCAACACAGGCTGCCATACAAACACCTTGAGCGACGTTACAAGCGATGGCCGCAAGTGGTGCACCGAGACCTCCGGTGACTGTTCCTGTTTAAAAAAAGAATTAATAGTTTAGCGAAAAAGTATTTACGTATTTATCGTAGGTGAAGTTAATAATGTATGCATGCAAGAATTGTTATTTCGTTCATACCGGCGACTAAGCCTGCCGAAGCGTAACATGATACCCATCCAAGATTACAGGCGGTTTGGCAAACTGCATAGGCAATCGGTCCCGCGTGGGTACCATGAAGAGCGCAAAGGAGGACGACGAATGCAATGAATAATTGTTGTTTGGCGTTCATTTTTTCAAATTGTTTATTTTTTTATGTTGAAGATTGTTTAGTTTGTTAGCTTGAAAGATTGCTTAATTTGTTATGTTGAAGATTGTTTATTTTGTTATGTTGAAGATTGTTTATTTTTGATAGCGATAGTAAAGAAATGAACTGCAATATTGTTGGGTGTTTGTATGTTTTATTATATGTATTTGGTTTTATCAGTTGTTTGATTTTGTAATTGAGAACCACTCGACAAGTAGTGTTGTATTTATATTCATGAAAAAAATAATCCTCTTTAATACTCCGCAGCAAAAAACAATGTCATTGCTTATTTTGTCGGATATAATGGGTGATACATGTAATTGTCTGGTGATCACTTTTCCTGTTTTTCAACGCTAAACAATATCGATATTGTGCGCAGTAATATTAGTATGTACATGTAATACAGACTTCATTAGAGAAAGTAGGACAATAATGAAAAATGATGTAATTTCCATGAAATTCCTCGGGAATCTTGTGTTCAACTATGTAAACTTTATAAACTTTATTTTAGGATTTTCAGCCAAGAATCGAAAATAGGTTGCATAAAAGGAATTTCATACGTAGTGATACATGACATATGCCTATGCAAAATTACATGCGGTAGCAACGGAGGTCCCAGTACGTAATAATCTTTACACATTCACATTTGGATTTTAAGAAATGGTTAATATTTTTAAAAAATTGAGTCTTGTAAACACTTTTTCATCGCTTTCAAAATATAATGTAGTGATGTGGTGGGAGGGTCGCAGGTTCGAACAAAATTCTTTTTTACTGATGAACGTCGATGAAGTATGCTAGGTTAATTTTTTTATTTATAATCAAACACTTTTCAGTTGGTAAACGAGTGTGTCAAGAAAGAAAAAACACACCTACGGAGACCATTTTACTTTTTATAACCAATTAACAAACCTTGGAATTAATGGTGGTGTAAAGACTTCTAACATCGACCATTAATATATCATAAATCACAATAAAAATTAATTGTTTAAAATTTTAAACTCTGCGAATAAAACAATCAAGAGAAATTAATGATTTAAGCAGTAAAGAATTAAACAGAGTATGGTGCATAACATCTAAAGTCACCAAAACATTTATATTTTATAAAATGGATAAACTTCTTTACTAAGAAGTAAATACAAAATTTAATCCGTGAATATGATAGAATAGGCCCTTTCTGAGCATATTCACGGATTAAATTTTGTATTTACTTCTCAGTAAAGAAGTTTATCCATTTTATAAACGTTTGATGGCTTTAGATGTTACGCACCATAAAAGATCGAACGGAATATATGGATATTTATAGTAATTGTCAATATTATTTCAATACAATCATAAACAATAAGAGTCTAACTGCATCCAAGTAAAACAGAAACGTGTTTTTGACTTCTTATTATGGAATACAAGAGTCTATTAAAAATATCATTTATTATACAAAACAATCGAGAAAGTAATTAATGGTTCAATATACATGTACTATATATATCAAAAATTTGAATAATATAAAATTAAAAATTTCTTCCGTTTCATGTCGTAGCGAATTTAACGAACTTGAGGCGTTGGTACGATTTATGAGTCATCACACGCTGTCATACAGACACCCTGCACGATATTACATACGGTAGCTGCTAGTGGTGGTGCACCCAAGTTTGTGGTGATGGTTCCTGTTTTAAAAAAGGATTAATGGTTTAACGAAAAAAGTATTTATTTATTGTAAAATTGATAATTTATGCATTCACGAAATTGGTATTTCGTTCATACTTTGCGGAAGCACACGTGCGAGATTGCAGGCGGTTTTGCAAACCGCATAGGTCACAGGTCCCGCAGTAGCATTAAGAACATAAAAAAGAATAAACAAAATGATGAAAAAGTGTTTTTTCATTATTTTCCTTAATCGAAAGGAGGGGTGAAAGCACTATATTTATAAAGGTTGATCAAACTTTTGGAAATGTTTGACATATCAAAAATGCTAGAACCATCCCATAAATATATATATTATTTATTAAGCAAAAAAATTGTATAATTATGATTTGATATTCTTAAATGGTAATTCAATAATAGTAATTAAAATACAGTTAAACTCACACAATTGGAAACATCATACTTTTTTAAAAAAAATATAGAGTAAATGTGCATATATGTATTTTTTATAAGATCAATAATAGATAATTTCAAGTATAAATATGATTATTTATATGTAGAGAGATACAATTTCTATATTTTTAATATTTTTTAAGTCGTATAAATATTTTGAATTTATTTAAGATTTAAATTTATTATTAATTTTATATAATATAAATTTTATATAAAATTATTAAGATATACAAAAATTAAAAAATAAAAGTTTATTATTAATACTAAAATAAATTATAATAATATTTTGTATATTAATACTATATAATTACTTTCTTTATAATAAAATATAAATTTTCAAATCTTTATATTATATAAATTTGAATTATTTTTAGAAGAAAAATAAAAGTAATTATTTAATAGATTAAATTACTGAATGTAATATAAATAATATATCTTTTCTTCAAATTATTATTTATATTAACTTTAATATTATATTCAAAAAAATTATACTTAATCAACATATATAACAAGTTTATATCTCTGAAATAATTTAATATAAATATATAAAGTTATATTTAAATTAATTATATCATTATTAACTTTGCATTTTTTATATTTAGTAATTTTATATGAAATATAAATATTATCATCTTTTAATCTCTCAGAATATGCTTTATAGAAGTTTTCATAATATTTTTATAATACAATATTATCACTATTTTACTTAATTTTTGTTTTTACTATATCTTTTTAAGTGCTCAATATATATTTTAAGAGATAAGATAAATAACTAAAAGTAATGATGTATATTTATTAAATACTAGTTAACTAAAAAGTGACTTAAGAAATCTTATAATTTAATATATATAATATAATAATTACAATAATAGTTTATAGACAAGTAAAATATTATGAATTCAGTTTATTAAATTATTTCAATGATATACTATTACAAATATATAAAAGGTCAAACTAATTTTATAAGTTTGTTTACTAATCATTAAATTAGCTTACAAATTTGAATTGAAATTGAAAGAGAGTAATAAATTAATAAAAATATTAAAAAAAGAAGAGATATTTAAGATCTATACCAATTTTTACAGAAATTGTATTTATTTAAAAAGAGATAATAATATGGAAGAGTTATGAGAGAGTAAAGATTAAAAGAGAAAGAGTATATAAGAGAACAAAGGAATAGTAAAAGAAATTCAGAAAACTAATTCTCTATACTTGTATAAGCTTTTCAGAGCTAAGATAATATAATTAATAATAACAATAATAAAGACTCTTTTACTTTGTTCTTTTCATGAGTGAAAAATATTCATTAATAATCAAAAATTTAAATATGATAATATATAACTATTATAAAATATTATTAGATCTGAGTTATTGAACATAAAAAA